TATCTTTTTCTTCTTCTTTTTTCCTTTTTTTTTTTTTTTTTGTTGAATTGTAGAGGCTATTTCTATGAAAAATATTTACTTAACATCTTCATTTAATTACCTATAATATAGCTAGGTAGCCATCGATCTATCTTCAATGAAGATACCAAGACAATTATATACCTAAAGCAAAGATATAAACACGATTTTGAGTTATCACCATAACAAGTTCTAAAACATGTAGAAGCAAAAAGAATATATACTACATGTAGTTAAGTAGGGGTGGGCATAAAAACCGCCAAACCGCAAAACCGCATCGAACCATAAGAAAAAAAACCGAAAAAAACCGTGTTGACCGGAAAAGTCAACTTTAAGTGAAAAACCGAACCGAACCGCTCAAACCGGTTTCGGTTTCAAATGACCAAGAATTGGCGGAACCGAACCAAACCGTTTTATTAATAATAAATAAATAAATTATATATACACACACATGTCATGGTATAATAGGTTGAAAAATAGGTTGAAAAATTGTGTACAGGAGCTGCTGCTTCTTGCTTGCTCTCTGAAGTCTGAAAACCTGCAATTTGCTTCATCATTTTTTTGTTTGTTGACTGATTGACCAGTGCATATGTATTTTAGTTGTCTCTTTTTGTTGACTTGGTGCCACTACCAAAGACATTTGCATTAAAAAAGATGTGTTGTATGCAACTTTATGTAATCAGTTTTAAAAGATGTATTTGAATGCATAATGATTTGGTGTTCAAATAATTTATTATTAGGAACCGTAAACCGGCAAGAACTGAATCGAAACCGGTGTAGACCGAACTGTAAAGTTCTAGTAATAAATTTAAGTGGAACCGCACCGAATCGAACCGTTAATATATTTCGGTTTCGGTTCCAATTTAGGGGTGGAACCGCACCGAACCGCACCGTGCCCACCCCTATAGTTAAGGTTCTCACCATGCCAAATTTCAATACAAATGATTCCTCCATATATGGTACATTAACAAAAACAACAAACTCAAAATTCAAAATTCAAACCAAACAATACAAAACCAAAATAATATGTACAATAATGACAAATAAAATATGAAAAAAAATGGTATTAATGTTGCGTGGTTTACATGCGTTGCTCACAAAATGGGAAAAATAGATGTAAAAAAAATGAATGACTCAACCTAAAAATTAGCTTACTCATCAATCTAAATATGGAAAGTAAATTGGGGGTAGCAATGTAGTCAATGGGTTTAAATTGAAGAAATAAAATTTAGAAAAAAATGCTTATCATTTTTAAATCCTAGGCCTAGGCTAATCTTATAATAGTATACTTTAAATAATATCCTTAATAATAATGGTAGAGGAAGGGTGTAACCGTGTAATAAGATAATCTTACATTCTTAATAGAAAGTAGGGTTGGCAGATAAGATGCATAAATACTTTTTACCAAATTTAAAATAAGAAATATAGATACAATGAATGCATATCTCAATACACTAAAATGGATATTATTCATATCTATTCATATGGAATGCAAATATTCTACATTAATTTCTCAAATAACGTATCTTCACAGTATGATTTGAGCTAAAGTTAAGTCTTGCCTAATCCACATTCGCCATGTGGGTATCACGTGACGGAATAAAATGAACTTGGGCTAAAATCAAATAACACGACACCCACAAACAAATAATGAATTATATTGAGCCGACCTAGCTGTAAGGTTATTGGGTCGAATAACACGTCTCACACTTGGTCGTATCCATCCCCTCCCAGTTGCTTTGCACCCACTCGCAGTCATAGAGCAGAGCAGAACAGAACGTCGGCCGGCGCGGCCTCCATCGATTCCTTCTCCTGCGGGGGTCTCTTTCATCTCTGATAATTTCTGCAACAATTAATTAAATCTTTACTTACTAATCTAAATCAGTTTCTATGATGATGATGATGATATATATATATATACACACACACGCACATCAGCATGTATATAATTGAACCTTGCTTCCGAAAATTAATCAAAGTTTCGATCTATCAGTTTCCTGTATATGATTTGCCCCTATGGATGACATCGTTGCTAAAGTTGATCGGGTGGTTACTAAGAATTACTATCACCAGTGTGTTTTACTATGGATGGATTGAAAGGCTTTCCGATAACTAGCTCCAGAGAGGCCCAAAAACCTACAGAGAAAGAAGAGGAAGGAGGAGGATCCAGAGGCTCCGGTGGAACCGGCTCCGGAGATGATCTTCTTCCCTAAGATATAAATCATTAAATCACTTGCTTTAATCACATATGTTGTTTACCCTCAATAGAAAGTTAGACAAAAGACTTAAAATCATTGACTAACATTTGCATTATTCACATGTGTTGTGTCCCCTCAATAGAAAGATAAAATATCCAAAACCATAAGCATTTGTTTAATATTTTATTTCTTCGATTTTAAACCCATTGAGTACATTGCTACCCTGAATTTACTTTCCATTAATGAGTAAGCTAATTTTTAGGTTAGAGTAATTCTTTCTTTTTTTTTACATCTATTTTTACCATTTGTGAGCAACGAATGGAAACCACGCAATTTTTTTTTTTTTTTTCATATTTCATTTGTCATTATTGTATATATTATTTTGATTTTGTATTGTTTGGTTTGAATTTTGAGTTTATTATTTTTGTTATTGTACCATATATGGAGGAATGATATGTATTGAAATTTGGCACGGTGAGAACCTTAACTACTGTTGGAAATATTTGTGATAAACAAACCACAAAATTAATAATATTATATCATAATTTTATCACCACAATTTATTAAATGAAATAAATCAAATAAGATAAAATATTTATCTTTTGTAGGTAGAGAACACTCTTCGTCGATCCTCGATTTGAATAAGATTTTAGGTTGAGGTGTGCAGTCATTGTCCTTAAGAATAGATTTCGCCCCTCTAAGACAATGTCTTGGTGTAATGGGTTATGGTGCCTTACCCTCAGGATACAACAACCTATAATCCTTCATTAGGCATATGAAAGGTGAAATTATAATAGCATTTGAGAGAATACAAGAAATCAAAAGAGGAGAGGAAGGTGAGATTCAACTAGGTGAGGTTTGTAGGAAAGAAAATATTTGAAGTTCAATAGCAAAGGAGTAGTCTAGGTAAAGATCAACCGTAATACTCACGGCTTGAAGAGTTGTTTTTATATAGAACATGAGAAAAGTAAACATGATTAAGCATGGTCTAGAAACGTTAGACTATATAATTGCCCAATTTTTCTTCAAAAAATATAATTGCCCAATTAATGGGTTAATCAAGATGGCATATTCAAAGAGAAAATGTACTTAATTTATAGCCCCAATATTATAACCGCTTTAATGCTTCAGTTTTTGGTTTGCAAGAAAAACTGAAATTGAGATTAGAAAAAATCAATAAGAATTATATTAACATGATCAATGAGGAGTTGTATTTTGAAATACCCAATCAAAAATGCCAACAATTCCCCACATATTTCAAAATACAAATTGAATCACAAAAGGAATTTGAGTAAAACAAGTTTAAAGAAGACAAGGAAATACGAAAGGAAAATGAGAATCCAACGCATCAACACTGGTGTTTGTTGAGAGTCTATCTGCACCATAGAGATAGACTCTCAACAATAATAACATTAGATATAAATTGATAATGCACGCCCAATCAACAAGTGACTTGTTCTTACCCATATGAACCTACTTCATGGCATCTCCATTCACATAGGTTGGGTTACCATCACTCTTGATCGATGTTATAGGCATACGTCTCATCCCCTTGATGTCATAATCATCACTAGCATTTAGCTTAGTGGATTTGTCAAATGATTAGCTAAATCCAATTCTGACGTCAAAACAATTATATCAAGTACATATGCATAAGTCATTTAGCTTGACGCCCTCATAGCTATGATATCACACACAATAAACCAACTAGTCTCTTCCCAGACAATGAGATATCTCAAACCAAACAAAGTGGTCTCTTCCACAAATAGTTGGATAGCTCAATAATAGATATAGAAAGAAGTCGTCTCTTGTCGTTCACATTGTCTTCTTTATAAGATTACTAGCCGGTGTTTCATAGTGAAACTGCTCAAATATACTATCTACAAACTCTTGTACAATTGATCAAATACGTACAATTGATCAAATACATATCAACACATCGCCATATGAGGAAATGCGATGAAGAGCCAGATCATTGAATTTTATGACATACTCATCAGCACACAACAGCATGCTAGCAAACTTTTCAAGGCACCTATCCAATATTGAAAATAGATCCTCAAAGAAACTGCCGCCAATGAAACACCCAGATATTGAGGTGCAGAGAGAGCAATAGAGGGACATCCAGAGTGTGATAACTTGTTCAAGCTCAACCTGTATGTGATGTGAAGCATGAGATTCTTTTGCGGGGCTTCCAAGGTCTGCAGACATAAAGTATTTCGGAGTACAGGAGCATACAACTAGTGGATAGGACAACAGATCGCACATGGCAAAACAACATTTGCAGTCAGACTCCATTTTCAATGACGAAAAATCCTTCATATCATCAATGTAGAACTTCAAACCTTCTGCCACTGCAATCCACATCCTTAAGCAGCTAGGACCACTGTGCTTGTACAATAATCCAGTAGTGACAACTAGGCTTTCCAGGGGATCAAACATTGATAACAGATATTTGAAATAATTCTGCATTCTCTGAAGATTGATGTCTGTTTGGGTTCGGTCATTGTTGACTGAACCACTAAGCAGAAGTAAAGTACACTTAAATAAACCATTGGTGAAACCATATCCATGTAAGCGTTAGTGACACCGGATTTTGCACATCCAATGTCAACTAATATTTGGTGGTTATCAATACACTTGATGTCAAATGGCACCCTGTAAATAGGGAATCCCACTATAGTATGTTCAATCTCCTCACAGACAGCCTCCACCAACTGAAGCGATATGTGATGTAAGTCACAATAACATAAGCAAGTGAGTACCTTGGAAAGATTTAGCGGAGGGGTAATATTGTAGACCTAGTGTTCAATAAACACCTCTCTGACATATCCCTCTCCCTCTTATCAGAGCTAAGGAGTCTTCTATATACTGAAGGAGCCCATATATGCGATAACAGCCTGTCACAATAACATAAGGCATATTCAGAAGAATTAGTATGAAAACAACACTATTTAAAACGCATGATACTTGCGATGTATTACCTGAATAGCCTCAAAAGTAGTCGACAAAGAACTGATAGGATTGTCAATGGCATGAACAATTGCAAGCAAAAGAGAATGGAAAGGGGCAGCTAAAAGTGGTGTACTCAATTGTTGGATAGATATGCACCACACCCCGAAATTGCAAACAGACTGCAGTTATGAAATCAGCAGGTTACTATTCGGACACGCGAAAAAACAAAAACTAAAAACACAAAAAGATCATCGCTTGTAGTAATAAATTCCCGTCAATATAAAGAAATAACCTTCATTTTTGTGGTTGTAATGAGCTTTGCCAGTGAATCTAAAACAAATTTGACATCATCCGCTGCGAAACAAAGAAATTGGTGACAGAAATTTGGTTATCAGTTTAAGCTCAGCTGCATAAAAAGTTCAAAATTTTAATTTCAAACGAATCAGAATTTTGAGTGGCTACATGTACCTGCGATTTCGGCGACGATGGACGGATGATATATCATGAAGCCCAAGCATTCCAATGCCTGAGTTGCACTGCAAATTTTTTAAATAAAAAAGAAAAATCCAAGACGTATTCAGTTAAACCACACCATTAAAATAAATGAAAAACCCAGAAAAATGAGATTTCGAATCGGAAGAACTCACATTTCTTCGTCATTGTTCCGAACAACGGCGACGGTCGGACGGATGAGGCTCCGGCAGCTCCGCGCAAGCATTTGAATTGAATCGTGACGGTCGGAGGATTGCTGCTGGAGGTGTAAGAGGGTGGAGTAGGCGAAAGACTTGTTTGCTTTGGTGGCGGCTGAAGAAATCAGACCCCTGATTTCTTCAAGCTGGTCTGAAAATCCGGAAATCGTTGCGGTGGGGGAGAGGAAGCAGCAGTGACCAGACTACCGGTAGCATGTGAGGTGAAACCCTAATTTCGCACTGGATTTTTGGAATTGGGAGTCTTTTCGCGCCATAGCACGGAAAAGGGTGACGGGTTTAGCAACCTGGGGCCTGTTGGGCTTTAGGCCTAAATAAATGCTAAGAAATACTTAAAGTGTTTTTAGAACTAAAAAATATTCCTTTAAAAGCGTTTTTAATCACTAGTACTTGTTAAACGAGTCCTAAGTCCCATGTATTTCTGTGAGAGGATTTTTTAAGTTCCACGACTTTTGGAAGGATTTATACGAAAGAGTTTGTGATAAGGTTTCAGGTTTGGTTGTAGCACACGTAAACGATAGTTGAGTTTGTAATAAGTTCAATTTCTTCATTATGCGTGAATTTCTCCATATATATATATATATATGCATATTACGTACTTATGTGTGTATTATAGTTATGTAGGTGAGACATTTGTACTAAAACTTATGTACTAATGTATTCGTACCACAATTTTATGTGCATATACATTTGTCGCAATACTTTGTACCCATGAGTTTTTTTCATATAAATTTTTTATGTATCGTTGTTGACTTTTTTAAATTATAAGAATTTAAATTTTGGATAAATTTTTATCTATTAGTGTGATTGGAGCATAAAAATATACATGACTTAAGAATAGGTTTATAAATGTTATAACACTTAAATATGGTAAGTTTTAATAATAAATACTTGAATTAGATTTAGAAAACGATTCATGTTAAAATATAAAAATATCTTATTTAAGTCATAAAATCTAAAAACTCCATTTTTTTCAAAACTGGTAAAGGAAAAAGTGACGATGAAACATCGCCAACAACAATTGGAGTCATGGCCCTCAAAAACGTGCGCCCGTCGAAACGTCTCTTCCTCATTAATGAATTAAAACCGCAGCCGCATGCAATCGTGCGTCCCAAATCCCTGAAAACCTCGATCCTATCTTTGAAGATTCCCAAGATATCCGAAATGATTGGCCATTTCCTGGTTAATTTTCCCTCAAATTCAAAACCCTAGCGCCTCCGAATACCAAAACGTTTGATCTTCCCTCTGAAATGCCTATAAATACCCAGATTTCTTTCATTTGCATCCCATGCCTTCAAAAACTTTGAAATCTCTCTTGCCATTCCTACTTGCTCCAACCACAAAACCTCAAACTCATCTCTCACAAACCCCATTTTTAGCCTACGCAAACCTTTGACTCCTTACCATGCCTCCTTATCTTAAAGCTTTCCGACGAGTGTAACAAATGCAAAGATTTCATCGATCGGAGAGCCATCAAAATGCTACGCTTCGAAAACGACCTAGCCACCACCCACCAAATTCTAGGCCCACTATTCAAAGATGCAGTGCCATCAGTGCATCACCAACCTCCTCAAGGAACAGTGCCTAACACTCGTGCTGCAAGGGTTTGACTGGTCGAAATGGTGTTTGGCACGGCCCCAAGGAGCTTGGCCCTCGACCACTACAGCTTGGGCCGTCTGGGTCGACCAAATGGGAACATTCTTCGACAAAGAATGGGACGTCTCGGCATTCATGACGCCATCAAGCTCTCGACCATGGAGATCACCATGGATAAAGAGCTATTTATGGCGGACCCTGAGTTTATGGTGTTCAGGCTACCAACACCATGATCTTTCCTTTCGGCCCTATCAGCCCCACCGTCCTTGATATCTCAGTCTATCCTTAGGACATTCCCCATCTAGTCTCCTAATAGATGCTGCCCTTGCCAGGTGCCCATCGAACCTCGACCTAAAAGCGTTGTTCGACGAACGGGCCGTCGAGACACTTAACCGAGGAGATCGAGAGCCTTCGAAAGAAGAGGTTCAAAAGCTACACAAGAACTTCTTCAACTACAACACTCTCATTCTCCACTTCATCAGCCGAGGCGAGGAGAGCCTTAGGAAGGGAGAACATAAAGCCTTCCTATTCTACTAGTACAACAAATTCATCTATTGTACCCCTTGGGTCAAATTTCATGTCTTGTGGAACAAGTATGGCCATATAAGCGGAGTCACTTGGATTTCATCTATTGTCCCGGATCAAGGTGATGGTAGCATCGCTACTCCGTTAGGTCAAACTCTTCACAGAGTTGTTGAGTCGTGACCAGACTTTTGAGGGTAACGTTATTCCGATCAGCCTTTCTCCAGCTTTAGAATACGTACTGTTTGGTCTTCTATCTTGCATATGATCCAATTTCGTACAATGTAGCAGAGACATTTCAGACTCAGTGGTGCAATCTTGAATGTCATGCAAAAAAATTTGTAATGATGATGAATACTGTTTGTTTCCTAATCGATGAATAGAGTTTAATCTGTCAATCTATTCGAAGTAAGAAGTGTTGAGGAAAAACACAGGTAAGCTTATGGGCCCGGGGCAGAGTTCAAAAGCCATCTTTGGTGACGTTGTTTTGGGAAAACATCACCTCCAAATTTAGTATTTGTAAAGATTTCCACCGCTGATATCCGGAATACCACCTTACTCCGGTACTAGGTATTAAATATTAAGCTAATGGAAAACCTTTTGCCCTAGACTCACGGTAATGCATTAACCAGATTAAGGTTGAGGAAGTGTCGGATCATACCCGGAATGACCTCCAAATTTAATTGTTAGTCTAACATGTTTGAGTTGTCTTTGTTTTTTGATTTCGTTTGTTCTTTCACCTTGCCCCCATTCCAAGTCAGAGGATTTCAATAGTGCAACATGTCACCAAGAAGGGGCTTCCTTCTCAGTCCGAATTGTGTGTCCATCTTTAGTGATTCTTAAACGAAAGTTTGTTAGGAATTTGGTCGGCTGCATGTGGGTCAAAAATATTTTTTAAATGCTTTTGTCAAATCCTATGCATCGGACTCGTGGACTTTGAATGTCGTTTTCGGTTTCTCTGAATGTGTCACACATATTGCATGTGGTGATGACCGGTTGTTGTTTGGATGGGATATTTTGCATGCGTGCAATATCCCTTTTGTGCACCTCGTTGCGTTATGGTCTTGGTAGTTACTATATTTTACTTGGTCATCAGGCATTGTTGGTTATAGTAATGTCCGTGTAATCACTTACCACTCCACTCTCTCTTATTTACCCACCATCACTTCTCTCTTCATTTCTCACCCAATCTCTCTCTCTCTCTCTCTCTCTCTCTCTCTCTCTCTCTCTCTCTCCACTCTCTCTTGTATTTTGTGTATAATGCTAGCAGAAAAAGTGACAGTGGAGGTTATCCAGAGAAATATATTGGCGCTAATACTAGATGATATTCATGCGGAGGTTGAGATAGAAGGACCTCAATTTTGGTAGATTTTAGATGTTGTTATCTTGTAAAATGTTAGACAACTTCATTCACTTAGTATATATTACCTAGTTAAACTCATTCGAATTTCTCTTCATATATTGTTTCTAATCTTAGTACCTCACCCAATTCATGAATTTGAGTTAAGGTCTTTTTTTTTTTTTTTTCTTTTTCTTTTCTTCTTTTCAAATTTCTTCTCAACTGATGCAGTTTAAGGTTTATTAATTATGGATCGATATAATTAGTATGTGAGTGGGCAAGAATCCGGATGTAATTCATGTGAAAGGAAAAAAAAAATTCAATTCTTTTTAAATAAATTTGGTATAGGGCACGATTACACAGAAGTGCCCAATCAGTTGAAAAGGGCTGTCAGACCTATCAGAATGAAGGCACAAATTAGGCTCTATAATGCTTTGCCTTGATAACACAAACAACTATATTGTGCCCTGCGGCCAAAGGACACACTTTGTTGCTACATTGTTGCTATTTGTCTACAAGCACATATGTTGGTGCTCTTTGGCCTCAAAGGGCACACAATAAATTTATTTTGTGCAGTGCCCATATTTTTTGTAGTGTGCCAAGTGCTATGCATATATATGCAACCGGAGAGCTTGTCTAACGACCGATTTCAGCAATCTTGGTCCAAGATTTCAGAGATCTGTCATCGTAGTCTATTTCATACAATGCAAAGTGAGTTATGGGGAAGGTCAAGCTAGTAATGCTCTCGTCGAGAATATTAACAATTTCTCCAGCTTTTTTCCTTTCTTCTTCCGTCAACTTCCCATAGAGGAGACTCAAATATGGCATAGAACCTGCATCAAATATTGCAGACACGCAGATTACATACGTACATTCCCGTCAACACTTTAAGAAATTAAGTCACTGTAAACAACAACTTACTGTTGTAGAAACCGAAATGGTAGCTCCAACTTTGGGCATTTTCAAACAACTAAGAAAAGAAGGTGTAATGATAAGTGAGTCTATTCAAGCTCAAACCAAAACGAGAAAGATGAAAAGGAAACAAAACAGAACAAAACAAAACATCAAGAAAATCAATATGTATTAACAAGGGATCGAGAAAATATATACCTCTCGATCCATCAATAATGAAACACACTGGTGATAGTAATTCTTAGTAACCACCCGATCAACTTTAGCAACGATGTCATCCATAGGAGCAAATCTAAACTTGTTAAGGGCATCCTCACGACTCATCATTTGGATGGATCCCAGGATGGGGATGTGAGGTTCGATCTCCGGCCCACCAAACTCTGCCTGGAGGCCCTCCATCACCTTCTTGATTCTACGGGAAACATCAGCCGGTGGAATGGCCCAAACCGAATACGAGTACAACCTCCGGCAACTTTCCCTCTTCCCGTCTACCACCACTATCGCATCTTCATCTTTATCTGAGCAAGTATTCTCTATGCTCTTAAGCTTGTGGCTGCGTCCCATGACCGAAACTATGCTATTCACATAAACAATAATACTATCTTTATCTTCTGTTTCAATGGGAATATGCTTAAGCTTTTTGGTACAAAGATTAAAGAAAACTACGTGTCCATCACTGTCAATCATAAGCCACTCATCGCCCCACAACGCCACAGGTCCAGACCTACGTATCTGATCATCTGTGCCCTCAATGGTCAAGTGTTTTGTCCAAGCACCCTTAAAGTCATCATCCATCACCCACATTTCATAAGGTTCAGGATATCGACGATGGTCCACACTAAGGGCAAAAAAAAGCAACTGATTCATTCCAAACAGTAAGCTTCAAATAGAGGTGATTCGAC